CATATTGCCTTAGGCAAGTCTGCTATACAAGACCTCTTTAAAGTAATGAAGAGCAAAGATGTCAGTTTGAGGACTAAGGTGTGCCTGACCCAAGCCATGGTATTTTCAATAACCTCATATGCATGCAATAATTGGACAGTGAATAAGGAAGACCATAGAAGAATTGATACATCTGTGTTACGGTGTTGGAGGAGAATTTAAAAGTACTTTGGAGTCATTGTCATTAATTTCACAATTAGAAGAATCCCCAGAAGACTGGAGTCCTCAGTTCCACTGGAAAGAACTCGACTCTGGCTTCCCTATTCATTAGATGTGTAAGAACTCAGGTAGGGTACTTAATCTTCAGAGAACTGGCTGCCCTTTCTTTTGTAAAGTGAAGAGAACAACACCTATGTAGTAGGGTTAGATGTGAGAACAATATGGTTTAGTGGAAACAGGAGCCCTTTGACACAACTCTAGCAGAGGAGTATTAAAAAATATCAATTATTTTTCCCTATTCTTTGTTTCTAAACCATATGTTATTTGTGACAGGTTCAAAGGTAGGAGCCTAAAGGAAACCGAACTGGCTCAATAATGCTTTATGAGCACTGCAAAGCTATGTCTACCTCAATTGTAGACATGGAATTCATCCTTCCTAAAAGTGGTGATTCAGTAGTAGAACTCTTACCTCCCATGTGATAGATCCGGGTTTGATTGGAGAGCCAATGCACTTTACATGCAGCCTCCACCCATGAATCTGTGGAAGTTGCATGTTGCTGAAAAGGTTTTAGCACAGCTTCCAAACTAAGACTATGAAGAAGGACCTGATGACCAACATCTTAAAAATAATCAGTCATTAGATCACACTGCCCAATCCTGTTGTGCATGGAGCTGCCATGAGCCATGACAGCAACTACAACAAAAATCTCCATAGATGTGTGTAGCTTAATGATTGTGCCGGACCCAGTGCTGAAATGCTGTCCCTATAGTACTCCATGTTCAAGGTCTTCACTTCTTTTTCTACCTATCTGCCCTGTGTCCTATTCTCTCTGCTTCTCAACTGATAGCAAAATGAATAAAGACATTGTATAAATCTTGGGAGAAATGTATGTGTATGTAAAGACTGTAAGTGTGTTCAAATTACAGCTAGGGATTCGAGAAAGATATGAGCAAGAACTAAGAGGTAAGCTATGAAGTTCTTGACATGCTCCTCCATTTGGGTCTGAAAGAAAGATAATTATGTTTCTCCACCTAAACACATACTTCAAAAAAATTAATAATTTATTGGCCACAACCTTGCTTGAGCAAGTTATTATATGCAAAATAGTATGGAGTGTATGGGGCTGCGCATTTCCACCACTCCTCTAACTGCTGAATAAGACAGAGGTTAGAGTTTTTTTAAAAAATACGTTGACTCCTAATCGTCAATCCTCCAGTCTACTCTGTAAGGTCTAATAAAGAGGTTCTACTCTGTAAAACACATGAGTAAATAAGATGATGACAGGAGGTCTATTCTTTTTCTTTTGCAGAAGGCCTAAGTCATCTTACAATCTTCCACAAATAGTAGCATCATGTGTATTATCCCTTTTCTCCTTTTGTTGCCCTCATTTCAAGTACTGACTAGTGGTAGAGATGGCAGGTCTCTGACTTTACTCTTCACTACACAAATGGGATTTTTCTGGTGACCTTGTTAACTGGGTGGCATGAAGACTTCACAAAACAATTATGCTGGCCTGGCACAATCCTGCCCAGCTCCAGGGGCACCATTCATACTGTAGACTACGTGAATGCTATGTCTGGAGCTCAAGACCATTTATATAGCCTACAACATGAATGGGCTGAGTCGGAACATATGGTAGCATCAGTACACACCATGTAGGAGTCTAACCTGGGACCACTTTCTGGCTCCAGCTTTGTGTAGCCTTACTTTTTTTTTTTTCTTTTAGGAAGGCCAATGTCTTTGCTAACACACACATACAAACACCACCATCACCACCACTACAACCATCACCATTACTGTTTCTAAATTCCATGAGTGGGAATTGACTTGTTGGCAACTAACAGAGAACACTAAAGAGAAAGATGTAACATGGTTTTGCCATGTTGCTTGAAAAAGAAAAAACACAAACTTAACTATAGGGAAGAGACTCTGGCACTCATTCCTCTATCAACCTGACCTCCCTCAGGGCAGGAAGTCTATTAGAACAGCCAGCTAGTAGGCCATCGCATGCCTGGAATTCTTACAGCTGTGGTTCCATGATTTTCTACCTGTGACCACTGGGTGCTACACAGTGAGAGCCCACTCAGCTGTTTAAGCAAGGTGAATGTGGAAAAGACTACACTGCTAAGATGAATGCTGGGTCTTTTGGAGGTATTTACATGAAAACTATGTTCTACATTTCCATGTTTTGCATGGCAATAGGCTGTAGGGCTGGCTAGCATTTTGGACATGTTGAAAGCAACATTGTTTAAATGTAGAGCTGTTCCAAAGTTCTAGCTCTGCTCATTGGCTTTGCACATTCTGCCACTCTGCTTTGCTCACACAAACTAGTCTATAACATATTATTCTAGCTCAACATATATGTGGTTTTCCAGCCCTTGTGGGCAAGGGAAGGAAAGCAAAGTAGGTAGGAGGTAAGATCACATAACATGTGTGATTTATAAACTATGTGACGAGAATGTTTACTTAAAGGTTCATTTCCCCAGATCCTGTTCCTTCCTTCTGTTGCATTCCCCCTCCTACCCACAAAAGAAAAAGAAAATACCAATTTAAAACTTCTTAGCACTCAATGTTGAAGTATTTAAAAACCATTTTGTCTCCAGCTTGTCAATCAGAGTCAGACATTCTCTGATGGATTGACATGAAAGTGGAGTCACTCTAAGGAGCCTTGGTGGTACAGTCTTCAAGTGCTCAGCTGCAAACTGCAAGGTCAATGGTTTGAACCCACCAGTTACTTGTGTGGGAGGAAGATGTGGCAGTCTGCTTCTTTAAAGATTCCCAGCCTTGCCCATCGTATAGGGCTGTTCTACTCTGTCCTATAGGTATGAGTCAGAACTGACTCAATGGCACACAACAACAATGGAGTCATTTTAAGAAACAGAAAAGACAGGGGTGCTGTTTTCTCCAGTCACAGCTCTGTGGGGTGATTGCTGCTCCCCATGATGGGGACATTGGAGGAGAATTTGCTTCCTAAGTCATTAGATTCATGTCTGAGGTAATTTTAGCTGAAGTGCGTCATTAGCTCTAATGGCCTGTACGCAGAGCTAAGGGCACCCATACTCTCAGTGTCACCCATTTGGATCCCAGGTTCTTTCTCTTGGGGATCTGAAGTTCTTGTCCTGGTTTCCACACTCAAACTCTTGTGGGTCTTCTGCCTTGACCTTACCCAGAAGATCCATTCAAGAGCCAAGATGGTCTCAAATTCAACTCTGGGCATTTGAGAGCCCCCAACATCCCTTTCTATTGGTTGCTGAGTCCTATTGCAGCCTCCACCTGGCCCCTCCATCCTGACTTGCACTTCCAGTGATCCCTGAGATTGGGAAAGGCTTTGTCCCGAGCTGTTTAGCCCATCAGTTTCCCTGACAGAGATTCTGTGTGCTATTCAGGACAGCATTCATGATTCGACAATTTTTCGAACTTAGTTGTGTGATTCTAAGTGTGAAGAAAAGAAGACTCCATGTTCCAATCTATGAAGGGTTTGTATGTTTCCAAGAAGGGAGAAGAGTAGGCAATTTCCCCAAACTTAATTCATCAAAGAGCATCCCCTTAAGTATTTATTAATATTTTCTGAGACACAGCATTCACTTAACCATGACTCAGGAAATGCTAACATTTGTATTAGTTCTCCATTGCCCAACAACCTGAGAAAGGAAATCCTGAACCTAGGCACTTGCTTATTTTCATTTCAAAATTTCCAAGAGTGTCATAGCCTGAAATTATTCGCTCACAATTATTCTCTGCTATTAGTTAACAATCACCATTTAAAAGGCTTGCTAATTCTCTGACAGGTTATGTCACCTCCACCTAGACATCATCATTCACTTTAGGATTCATTATTGGTCCTGGGAATAACGAATGGCAATGGTATGGATAGGAATTTAGGAAACTTACTTGAATGAATCAAGAGCATCACTGACTGCGTTGGCAAAGTTGATATCCGTTGGAACATTTTTATATTCCAGACAGTAAGTAGGCCTGACACCAAGAATTTCAACCTCACAGCCTACAAATGGAAAAAAAAAAGAAAAAAGAAAAGAAAGAAAAAGGTGAACAGTTACTTTTTTCCCAACCATTGAGGTAAAATTACAAATTTATTTCAGGAAGCAAACACTTTTAGTAAAAAAATGCTTACTTTTATGAAACAAAGTATTTTAATTTATTGCTCATTGCTGTTGTTGTTAAGTATTGTTGCATCAGTTCTTACTCATAGCAACCCTGTATAGGGTCTCCAAAGAGCGGCTGGTGAATTTGAACTTATGACCTTGTGGTTAGCTTGTACAGTGCTTGTCCTACAGCATCACACCAGGACCCCCTAATAGGTGGCATATTTGACTGTGATATTATTTAGCGATAATAGTGGTTTTCAAATGTCCTGCTTATGCAACTGTAGCTAAAATTGATAATGGCTGTCTTTCTTAATTTGAAACAAAAAAATTAATTAATAATACATGTTGTTGTTGTTAAGTACCATCTAGTCAGTTCTGACTCATAGCAACCCTGTATAGGGTTTCTGAGGATCGGTTGGTGAGTTTGAACAGCTGAACTTTTGGTTTAAACCTGCATTGTGGTCCAGTGCATTATCCTGCAGCGCCACACCAGGAGTACTGCAACATCTGGCTAAAAAGTGACCAGGACCTTCCTCAGTATGTCCAACTCCCCTTAACTCCTAGGCACCCTTGGTGCAAGAGTCCTCGATGCCACAAACAAGAAGAAAGGTATAGAGTGTGGAGGCTCCACCAAGATCTGGTGTGATGCTAAATATCAAAGGGGTGCTCCTGCTCTTGGGTGCCCAGGGTCATGCCTGGGTTCAAGTAGGGATAGGGGGGACTGCCTGGGTGGAATTCCTCCTCTCCCCACAGTGTGAAATCTTACCTATAAATTGTTATAGCTACTGAGTCTTCCAGTGCAGACCCATGCCTGCTATAGACTCAGGTATAAGGTGATTTGTTTGAGAATTTTGAAATAAAAATATCACTAATCTGTGGCATTGCATAAACACTAACTAGACTTAGAGATACTACACGAGATAAGCAAGATTTAAAAACTCTGAAGGAAAGCAGACTCTGAGCTCTGACTTTACCTCTACCAAAATGAAGTCCTGGTGTGACACTATAGGATAAGCACTCGACCTCAAGGCCAGTTTGAACTGTGAGGTTAGAAGTTCAAACTCACCAACCGCTCCTCAGAAATCTTAGGGTCGTTATGAGTCAGAAACAACTCAACGGCATACAACAACAACAAAATGAAGTAAAAGAATCAAAAGCATACAGATGCTGGGAGCTGCTATGGACTCAGTTTCTCTGCTCCAGATCACTGGACAATTAAGTTGGATAATTAATTTGGGAAGAGACAGAAACCCAACTCTATTGTCAGAATACACAGCTGGGGAGGGAAATTTTTTGTCAGTTTGTTCATTTTAAGAACACTTTTTGTTTAGTCAGTTACGAACAGACTTATTGAGTACCTGCTACGAACCAGTCACTATGTTCATACATCAAACAAACAAAGATTAAAAAAAATCCAAAAAAAAACCAAAAACCCAAAAAACATTGTCATTAAGTTGGTTCTAACCCATAGTACCCTGTGGGACAGAATTGAATTGTCCCATAGGATTTTCAAAACTGTAGGTCTTTAGGGAAGCAGATCGTCACATCTTTTTCCCACAAAGGGGCTGGTGAATTCGAGCATCTGACTTTTCAATTAGCAGCCTGGTGCTTAACCACTGTGCCCCCAGGGATCCTTATGTTCATATAAGTGGTTACAAAAATGAATCAGTCAGGGTTTTCATCTTGGAGCATCTCAGAATCTAGTCTAGTAGGGAAAGCTGAAAACAACAACAAAATGGTTATTGCTTAGAATGACTCTATGAGTCACTATGGACAGAGTTGTTGTTGTTGTTGTTAAGTGCTGTTGAGTTGGCTCTGACTCATAGCAACCCTGTATAGGGTTTCTAAGAAGTGGCTGGTGATCTTGAACTGCTGACCTTGTGATTCAAGCTGACCTGCAGTCCAGCACATTAGCCCAGTGCCACAGCAGTACTCCAAGGACAGAGGGGAGCTGCCCAACAAGATTCCCTAGGCTGTAATCTTCATGCTTCCTCCAAACATACATACGTATGTTTGGAGGATTGGAGGGTTTACAGCTGAGGGAATTTGTAGGAGAATCCAGAAATCCATTGTTTTCTAGTTCAAGACTCTCAGCTGTTCCTGGAGCCGCCATCTTTGCAGAGAACATCTTGATTGTATCAGGATTGATAATGAAATTTAAAGTTGACAGTTTCAACATAAAACCAAATGGCCACCACTCGTCTGTCGTGCTGTAGTGGCTTGAGTTGTGGTGATTCTGAGGGCTATGCCACCAGTATTTTAAATAACCAGCAGGGTCACCCATGGTGGACAGGTTTCAGATGAGCTTCCAGACAAAGACAGACTAGGAAGAAAGAGTGATGAACT